ATAAAATCAGGCTGCTATTTCTCCGTGGTTCCATCCTGGAAACTTGTCTATGTAGCCTCTCTCACAGTCAGTGTCTACCACGAATGCAGTCCCCGTATTCTAAGATCAGAAGCCAAGGTTCTCTGTTTTCTTGCCAAGCAGATTTTGCATGATATACAAGGTGCAACAACCATGAAATGTAGGCATGACTCCAGACCTAACAAGAAAAATAAAATAATCTGGACAAATATTGCCTCTGCATTGTAAAGGCTAGTTTATCAGCAATCCTAGTGGGGCTGCCCCAAGGCAGCAGGTGAACTGAGTGCTTGTTTGCTCTGGCTGGAGCAATGTAGTTTTGTACTGCTCCCTGTGCAGGGCTGAGATACAAAGCTTAGCCTCAGAGAGAATCTTTTCTTTATATTCTTTGACAGTGGAACGATCCCATTACTTAATGAGACTATGGCCCAGATTAAAACAAAAAGGTTCCCCATTCAGGAGAATTTTTTCAACTCTTCTGGAGGCTTCTCTTATACTTCCTGAGTACACTTAGAAAAATGTGAGGAGGAAAAAAAAAATAAGACAAGGCTCCTTGGGATTGTGTAGCGGAGAGATATCGATGTATTGTAACATTTATTTTTGAGTATTTTAAAGCTTTCAACACCACTGTCAGAAGTGTTTGGCTACTTACGTACCTCTCACTCACCATCTCAAATGCCTACGTGCAGAGGTAGCACCTAGCGTCTTCGTTCTAGAAATACGAACCACACAAGCTGAAGGAAACTGCCTACTTGCTGTGGTTGTATTAGGGCAGTGGTCACCAACCCGTAGATCAGGATCAATCGGTAGATCTTGGAGCCTCTGAGAGGGATCCCAACTGGTTTGGCTGGGAGGCTATCAAGTGCCCGCACTTCAGTAGCCTCTTCTCGCTCTGCCCTACTGCTCCTGCCCAGAGCCTCAGAGCTGCCCCCGGGAACCACCTGCTTGTTGTGCAGGGTCGGGGAGACAGAGGCGGGGGTGCTGATGTCGCTCTGTCCTCCTCCCCTGTACCCCATCTTCCCAGAGTGAGGAGGGCAGGGCCTCAGTGAAGGGGTGGGGCAGGGGTATTTGGGTTTGAGGTAGATCCTGGACTGACTTAAATTCAAAAAGTGATCTTGTGCTTAAAAAGGTTGGAGACCACTGTATTAGGGCCTCTGTCCTCTGTGGACTGAAGATGGTGATAAAATCAAATCTGAGCATTCTTTTTATCAGCAACTGAGCAGGGTCGATTTTCCACTCAGAAGAGGGTACCTCTTCCGTGTATTAATTACTCTCAGCAATTAAGCAAAGCCATCCCATAAGTATTTGGCTCTAGAGTGGTTCAGTCCAACAGTCAGATACCAGTCTGTGGCCTCACAGTTTCTTGGGTATCTGAATGTCTTTATGTCTGATTAGTGTGATCCCTTTATAGTAACCAGAATACAAACAAATACATTAACCAGGAAATCTGAGGGTATGTCTACACTTGCACCCTCTTTCGAGAGAGGGATGCAAATGAAGACATTCAAAATTGCAAATGAAGCCGGGATTTAAATATCCTGTGCTTCATTTGTATATTTGCGTTATGGTGCTGTTTCGAAATAGCGCTATTTTGAAATAACAGATGCTGTTAAGACGTTATTTTGAGAGAAAACCCTTCTCTCGAAATAACTGGTAAACCTCATTGTATGAGGAATAAGGGTTATTTCTAGAGAAGAGTTTTCTCTCGAAATAACCACATCTTAACAGCATCTGTTATTTCGAAATAGCGCCATAATGCAAATATGCAAATGAAGTGCGGGATATTTAAATCCCAGCTTCATTTGCAATTTCGAATGTCTTCATTTGCATCCCTCTCTTGAAAGAGGGTGCAAGTGTAGACATACCCTGAGATGCTCTCAGAATACAATTCCTCTCTCTGTAATATTCTGAGTTTGAGAAGTTTTAGGGCACTTTTTTCCTTCCAAAGTCAAGAACATTGGAACATAAGGTTTGGAAGCCAAAATCATTTAGGTGCATATAAGATATATTATTAATTCAGGGTTTGGAAATTCAAGGATCATGGCCTCTTTTAGTCAAAGCCATTTATGTTATTTAAAAGAATGATATTGGTAACAAAGGAAATTCCAGTAATGGTGTAAGTCTGATACTAAACAAGAATGGTAAGGTTGCCAATCATGACACAGAAAAGGTAGAAATATTCAATAATTATTATCGGAAAGCAGCAGGGTGATGTATTCATATCTTCCAATAGAAGGACAAAAATTGTATCCCATAATTAAGTAGCAGGGATTGAAACAGCAGATATTAAAGGTAAACATTTTTAAATTAGCAGGTGCTGAAAACAAACACCCAGGAGTATTAAAAGAATTAGCCAAGGTGCTGTCTACAACATTAATGTTTATTTTCAACAAATGGAAAACTGGGAAAGTTGCAGAGGAAGTTGACCCAAATAATTATAGTCTGGTTAGCTTGACATCAATACTGGGCCAAATCATGGAAAGGCAGATATGGGACACGATCAGTAAAGACTTAAAGTGGCAGGCCACATGAGTATGGAAAACAAGACTTGTCTAACTTGTTATTGTTTTTTGATGATGTATTAAACTAGACTTCTGTAGTTTATAATGTCTGTAATACATTATATTCTGACAAAAAATCAAAACAAAATCTCTGTAGCCCTTATTAAATTGATTAAAATCTGACTGATGGATCTTAAAAATTATTGTAAATTGGAAACCATTTTCCTATGGAATATTCCATCCCATCATCACCTTTTGCAGGATCCCACTGAAGATATGAGAAAAAAACATGCATTCATAGTGACTAACTAAAGAAGCTCAATCTGTTTAATTTATCCAGGAGAGGACTACAACGTGATTTGATCATGATCTCTAAGTACCCACATAGGGAAGAGTTTTATAACAGTAGATGGCTTTTTAATCTAACAGAAAAAGGCTTAAAGGTATCCAGTGATTAGAAGCTGAAGCTAGACAAATTCATTCAAATGCATATTTCTAACAGTCAGGGGAATTAAACATTAGAAGAACTTACTGAGGGACTGGTGGATTTTCCATCATTTGGAGTCTTTAAATCAAGACTGGATGTCTTCTTGAAAGATGTACGGTAGTTCAGCCAGAAGGCTAAAGGTAAGAATTATTTATGCCACATTCTGTGACTTATATTATAATGAAGGTCAGATTAGATTATTATAATGGTCCCTTTTGGCCTTAAACATTTATGAATTTATAAGTTAAAATTTATGTTGACTGTCATAATGTATCTGATAAAATAATAAATCCCCTTCTCAGTTTTCCAATCCATTAATCTTGAAGATAACAGTATGACTTAAATCTATTAAAACAAAGAATGGACACAAATTGATGTAATTAGTTAAGATCCAGATAGTTTATTGTCTTTCAGTTCCATGCTTTGGGCCTTTTGGCAATATAATACAATAATAATAATAATAATAATAATAATAAAAATAATAGTAGTAGTAATAGTAATAATAGTAGTAATAATAAAAATATCCTTTATACTAGATCTCAATTGATCAGAAATTGAAATTCTAACTTAACACAAACCTGGATGCCAGAAAGTTGGATCACTGTTACCTACATAGATATCTTTCTACAACAAAATTCCTTGACATAGTCGTCATATTAGAAACTATGGCAAACTATTCATAAACTGGTGACTGTTCACTGTTTGTGGAGCAAACTGTTTGATTTAATTCAGTAAGATGAGTATTTTTTGTTGATGTGCAGTCTTCTCTAGATATGAGAATTTTACAGTGTAGTTATTTTGTGTCCATTGGGCTTAATTTTCACCTTGTCATACATTTTTATTAGCAGCCTTAAAAAGAGAATATTTCCAGGTAAATTAGCTACCATGTACATCACTATTAGCAAGTTGGAGAAAATGTGTTCATGTTAAATGTGCACTTTACAAGTCTAGTTTTTATAATTACTGGTGATTCACAGTTTGCCACTTTCTTTAAGTGGTTAGGCTTTGCTATCTTTCCCTTGACTGTATCTGTAGGAAAAGTCTCCTAAGGCAAGAATTTATCTCATGGGATGGCCAAGGTCAAGTGATCCATCATTAGATGTTGTCAGGGTCATAGTGCAACTTTTCACTCCCTTATGCAACCTTGCAAATAAGAAATACAAAGCACAATAATTATGTCCCTGTTTGTTCTAATCTTGAAACTCTTTTGGGATCTTACTCAGCGTGTGAACTCTTTGTGGAGGGGACTGTCCCTTACTATGTATTTACACAGCACCTTGTGCATAGAATCATAGGGCTGGAAGAGACCTGAGGAGGTCATCAAATCCAATGGGGATCTAGTCACAGTTGAGGCTGTAATGGCTTCTATAATGGACATAATAAACAATCATCTATTTCAAGTCTTTTGAGGGGGGTCAGTTTTTAAAGGACAAACCTCAGCAGCACTTTCGATGGCTCCCTTGTGCACATGCTGAGCAAATAACTAGGTGGCTTGTACATAGCTTCCCATCTTTACAACCTTGCTTTGAAGGAGCCAGTGCTGGGGTTTGCTTTCCTCTTCTTGTCCATTTAGAAGGATTGAAGCAGGGAATGGTTCTGCTCCCACCATTGCCTTATGAATGTACCTAAATTCCCTGCTTTTGCAGGGCCCATCTCTGTCAGTTAGTGGGTAATGCAGATGCTGATGAGGCGGCTGACACAGGTGCCAATTAGTGCCAACGGTGAATGGTGTGTTTTGTGGGAGCTGACATAATAGTGTAATAAAGCTTAGCTCTTCACTAGGACTGCCTCCTCAGTAGATCTTAGAGCTCTTCACGAAGATCAGTATTATTGTCCCCATATGTTGAACATAGGTGGAAAACTCTCTGTGAATATTGTCTGACAGTGACATAGGTAAAATATTTTGCTGTAGGAATGTCTCTCTGTGAAGCAGTTTCTTAAAACACCTACTGATCTTGTATCATATTCCGACTGATTTTCCCCCCCTCTTTATTCAGGTTCTTTCAATTTGTCCCAAAGACATGAGGGCGGATATCTGCGTGCATCTGAACCGGAAGGTTTTTAACGAGCACCCTGCCTTTCGACTGGCTAGCGATGGCTGCCTGCGGGCCCTGGCTGTGGAGTTTCAAACTATTCACTGTGCGCCAGGAGACCTCATCTACCATGCTGGGGAAAGCGTAGACGCTCTCTGCTTTGTGGTGTCGGGATCCCTAGAAGTCATCCAGGATGATGAGGTGGTTGCTATTTTAGGTACTGTGATCTTTACTGAAATGGTCATAATCTCCCTAAATAACCGGCAGCTGCTGCCCAAGTTTTACCTAACAACCTAGTTTGAAATCTAAGTTACTCACTCATGCTGCTCAGGCTGTCTAATCAGGGGTGTTTATCACCATGGGGTGTGAGTGCTCTATGCCAATTAAAGCCACTCCTGACGATTGCCTCGCTGGCAAAACCCTCACCACTTGCCTTAGTCCCACTGTGTGATTGTGAGAGTTTCATTTTTGTTTTTCCCTCCGTCCTAGCTCTGCAACTGGTAGTTGATTCAGGGACTATGCTGTTCCTGGAGGAAGGACTTACAGGAGATGGGTTTTCCATCAAGGCCTGGCTAATGTCTAGCTTTGGCTGCTCTTTTTAGGTGTCCCACAACTGGGGTGTGGCATGTGAAAAGGCTCTGCCTCTGTATCTTCTCCCGTCTCAATACCTCTAGAACATTAGCTGGCTTGGCGGATCATGAGTCTTGCCAAATCTGGAAAGAGAGGATACAAGGTGGAGAGTGGATAGATGTAAAGCAAATAATTAGGGGAGTGAGATAGATGTCTAGAGAAGAAAATTTCTCAGGCAAACCTTGTGGGTTTCATTTGCTATTCTCAGAGAGCCCTTTCCCTCGCTTTGCCAGAGATCATAAAACAATGCTCATTTCCAGCCTCATGAAGCGGTTGTGTTAGGAAATGCAATTGCTGTGAATGACCTTCTTCGGGGAAACACATGCTGAGAGTCTTCACCATGGTATGCTGTTAATTATAGCTTCACCTTGTGACAAATTCCCTCTTAGATCAGGAGTGAGGAAGCTAGAGGTGAGAGTGATATTTGGACATTGTGGACCAGGTGGGTTTTTTCTTAGCAGAAATTATTTGCTCAGTGAGGTGTGAATATGCTTTCCTTCTGCATAGCATCGAATAATAACTGGGCTTGCCCACTGGCACTGTAGCAGTGCATTGGGACCATGAAAGACGAGTGGTTGTCACAGCACTGAAACACTTTGTCTCCCGAGAGACTCCTCTAGCAGTAAATCCTTCACATTTTATTCCTGGAGGAGTGCTCTTTCTGTCTAGGCTGGCTCGCTGGTCGGAGGTAGGATGTCCCTGAGCATAACAGAATGGCATCAGTGCACTCTCATAGGAGTGTTTTCCATGTGAACCGTCACACTGACCTGTTTCACTTGCCTGTTTTCTAGCCTGGTTTTTTTCCCCCCACTGATACATCAATGCTAAGTTTCCTTCGGAGCCAGGAACAAAAGACATAGAAACTCTTTGCCGGGGAGTGAAATGGGAGGACTTACGTTATTGTTGTGGATTGGTTCCCAGGTCAGTAACAAAAAAAAGGAAAAGCAGTTTGAACTGGAGAGACACAAATTAGACTTACCCTAGCAATTCTAGGTCCCCTGTAAAGGCATTTGCTTGATCCCCCTGGCTGTAAAGCATATGATTCCCTCTGTGACCTTCTCTTCCCCCTTGATCAAAGTCCTCCATAGACTGCCTGTGGGTGAAGAAGGTGGTCAGTGGTGGAAGGGTACAAGCCACAATGTATATTTGTCTGGAGACTGGGGAGGGGAATTGAGAGGAGGTTTCCTATTAAACAAGGAGAGCCAGAATATGCCACCTGCTCCAGCCACAGCCACATTAAGGTGCAAGAAATACAGCTAACACAGTTGTCACCAAAGCAGGTTGTACACCACAGCATGCAACATTGGGCAGGGGCATTAAACAGGACACTGCTGAGTCCCCTGCGGTTACAAGCTTGGTAGTACTGGTTGCCTGGGCCCCAACACAAATCTCTCCCTGCCTGTTGTGGCGGTAGGACGGGCGTAGCTGAGGGCAGACGTAGTGGCTGACTGTTGGAGGCCTAAGTAAAGGAGCGGACAAAGGAACCATCCTTCTGAGTGGCCTGAGAGGGGTGAGTCCCTCATCTCCCCTTGCTAGGAGCTCAGCTGGGCTTGTGAGGCAGAGCCCTGCATGGGCAGTGTTGCAGAGATGCATTTTCCCCAGGAATTCTCTCTTCTGCTCCCTCGCCTGTACGTCCCTTGACTGGTGTATCGTATACCCCTACGGGGCCGCTCAGGAGGCGGGCCCATGGAGAATGCTGCCTCCTCTGGCTTGTCTTGTGTCTTATTGGAGGGGACATCAGGGGCTGGAAGGATACGTCTACACTGCAGCATTATTTCAGAAAAACTCACGTTATTCCGAAATAACAAAGAGCATGTCTACACCGCAAGCCATTATTTCAAAATAATGGCGAACTGGAGGATTTCTTATTCCAACTCCTGCAACCCTCATTTCACAAGGAGTAAAGGAAGCCAAAGGAAGAAGTGTCCTGCTGTGTAGACCAGTGTTTCTCAACATTTTTTTTGCTCATGGCCCCCTTCTGAACCTCTTTTACCTCTGTGGCCTCCCTCATAGCTGCTGTCAGTTGGAAAAAAAGGTACATAATTTACCTAATGTTCCGTTTTTTCCATGTGGCCCCCTAAAGGTAGGGCGTGGCCCCTGGGGAGCCATATGGCCCATGGTTGAGAACCACTGGTGTAGACCATCCCAAAAGTATTTCGACTTTAGCTACGCAATAGATGTAGCTGAAGTTGCGTAGCTTAATTTGACTTTTGCCCTGCTGTGTAGATGTGCCCTAATTGTACCAGGGTGCACTGCCAGGTCTGACACAAGAGGAGATGGCAGAAAGCAGTACCTGCAGGGAAGCTAATGTACCTGTACAAAGTGGAGGGAGCATGCCAGTTGACACGTCTTCGTCACATCACAGCAATCTGTGCTGACAGGATGCAGCACAGGGGAAGAAATAAGGAACAAGGACAAGAGAAGCAACGTCCTGACCCACTGCCATATGTGTGTGCGTGAGAGTTTGTGCAGTCAGATTGCTTTTTCCAAGGTGCATCCCCAATTTCTACCAGCCGGAGAATCTGAATTGAGGCCGAAAGACCCAAACCTGGTATATTCCTTCATTCTTGATGATACTGAGACATTTTAAAGTAGAGATTTCATGCTTTGGTTTCCTATTTAGGATTGAAACCTTTATGCTGAAAGCTCTTCAAATCAGCAATTTCTCTGGAAAAATATTTTTTGTATTTCCAGTCAGAGAACCACCACCTCCTCCTCCTCACTAATCTCAGTAACAAAAAGGATCTCTCTCATTGTGCTGCAGCTCTTTAAAGAAGAAAGGCAACCAAGCAAACGGTGTTGAGGGTGTTACAACAAAACAAAGGATAAATTACTAATCTGCTGCACTGAAAAACACCGTTCGGTATATTTCATGCAGGCTTTGTTGTTCATTACTGAATACCATTTGTCTGTAATAATGGTGAGAGATCTTTATTTCCACCTCCTATGTGTTGTAAATTCAGTATCTATGTTATACGTGATCTGACCAGCGAGACCTTTCACTGCATCGAGTTAAAGAGGATTGGCTTTAATTACTGGAAGTGCCTTCGATTCTGCCATCACTGCTGACAGCTAATTCAATGAAACAGAGTTACATTTATTGTGTGGCATAGGAATTGGTAGGAGGCATAAATCTAGTTTAAAGAATGATGAACTGGTAATAAGCAAAATAGAGGATTTCCTCGTGCTCTGCTCTGATTAGTTACAAGGGGCCTGGAAGAGGACCCTTTTCATAAGCACTCGCAAAGGAATTTGTAGTGACGACAAGATGGTGCAGATCAAAGGATGGAGAACATAATTGTTATCAATTTGTCCTGCCCTGAGCAGTTCACTCAGAAGAAAAAAGAAATTACATGTGACCTGGCTCATGTGCTTTCCCGCCCACCTCTCCTTTGCTTACTGCCTGTGTAACACTCCATCTGAGTATCTCAAGGGGCTTTCCATACACTAACTAAATTCTCACCATACTTCCCCATGCAAGGAACTATTGGCTTAACTTTAGAATGACAATATGAGAGGACAGTGACTTGCTTGAGCTTGAATAGCAGGGCAGTGGCAGAACTAGGGGAGATCATGAGTTCCTCTTTCCGGCAGGGCACTCTGTCCAAACGACATAGATCCAAGGATGAATCACTCGCATGACTTGGCTAGTATGCTTCCTACTCCACCTCTCCCTCTTTGCTCACCTCCCTGCTGCTGAGGATTTCACAGTGCTTTACGTACATTAATTAATTCACTCTTGTCACGCCTATTTATGCTGCAGTAGCCATGTTGCTCTGTAGGTTTGGTGTCTCAGAAAAGTACTTTCAGTGGAGTTATAGTAGGAACGAGCTTGGCCCTTTCTTTTAGGGGCAGGATTTTCACAGCAGAGGTCCTCTTCTTTGGAATTTGGTCCCAAGCTCAAGAAAACCTGGATTGAGTGAGCTTCCGGGCAGGATGCAAGACCTAATCATTATGCTTAGCTCTGTTTTGGTTTAGTTCTTATTTTGTGCCTTAATGTTCTGTAATTAAGGTGCCCCGCTGCTGTAGCAATAGGCATTGTAGAAATGAGTAAAATAAATGAATATTCAAATTGAGCCCTGTGATCCACAAAGTCTGGGATTCCTTAATGAAAATACACTGGTGTCTCATTAAGTTCTCTTTGTTAGGATCTTTATTTTCCTCTACTGTCTGAATGAAATAACTGCTGATCTAATAGTTAATTCATCTCTGGTGTAAAGTGAAGCTACTTTACTGGAGAAAATGGAGCAGAACAGGCCCCAGTAGTGTTATCATGTTCTATTTGCAACCACAAGAATGACTAGCTAGGACAAGCCATTGTATTTCTAATTGTCATAATCTTTGCTAATAAGTCATGCCATGCTGAGGAGTCCAGTCTGTTTTCCCCCCACAGTCACAAATAGAAGTAGATAGTGTAACTAGAGTTGCTCTACATGCAGAAATGTACCATCAAACAGGTATGTGTAAGTGCAAGCTAATGAAATCAGGTATCCACTCACATCGGGGAGATAGCTGTTCACCCTACTGCAGTGACATAGAATTTGCTCCTGGCAGAGAATCTCCTGTAAATGACTTAAATGGTGACCA